ATGTCCTTCTTGTGAGAGTGTGCAGAGGGTGTGACCCGGCATGTACTCCTAGACTACTCTTCGTGTATTGCTAGCGGCAATATGCCATGTGATGTTTTACTGGCGCCACATGCATGATAATATGTAGTCCATGTCCATACATGTGCATTTTTAATGTTGTATGATAAATTGATATTTTTATGTCTTGGATAAGTGAGATATAATATTGTTGTTAATATATCTATGCTATATCTGTCTTGTTTGTGTTTGGCTATCCGGTGTGTATTTCTACACTGTGAGCCAGAGTGAGATGTTTCTCACTCCCTTTTCTTGTGTTATTTTTCCTTGACTGTCTTACAGGTAATTTTCAGCATGAGACTGAGGATGTTGGTGATGAAGCTTAGGATTCTATGTTGGGATTTGCTCTGATAGGACACGTGACATTGGGGCATAGATAGAATTATATTAGAATGTTTTTATTAAATTATTTTGTAAACTTTAGTTTTATTTCTTTGTAATTTCCGCTGATTTTGTTAAGTTATGGATGTGGTACTCTCTACCTAAACACGTTTGATACTTTAATTATGAAATGTTATGTTATTCAAATTTTATTACTATGTGTTATGGTATGCGGGGTAGAAGGTGTCACATTAAGTGGTATCAGAGAAGGTCGATCCAATCGGCCGTGAGTTATGTACTTATCATGATTTTGTTGTGTACTCTGACAGTGTTTTGTTTGTTGTATAATTTGATGATGCTTTGCTTTGATAATGATGATAATGATGTTCTCCTTATGTTGATATTGTTGAGTTTGATATTGTTAGATCATATTGTAATTAGATGAATGATGTACATGATAGTGTTAGTTAATATCATTATGACTGCTCTTCTTCATTATTATGAGTGCTTAATTGTTTGATACTTCTTGATTACATAAGAAGTAATGGATGAGTGATATTGCTTGTGTTGCAAGCATATGTGCGAGTAGTTGTAGACGAGATATTGTGCTAATTAACTAAAAACTATTGAAACCTTAGATTTGGGTGAGACATTGATTTGTTGAGTGTATTGAGAGTTTATGGTTGATGGAGTTTCTGGAATTTATAGTCTTAGCGATTGAATCCAAGGAGGTTGTATCTTGAGAATTGGAAGTTTTGATATTCTTGATAAGAGATTGAAATGTTGGTATTTTCCTCGAGTGTTGGTGCTTTTTAACCTTTTATGGTTTTGGTAGCATGTGAGTTTTATTTTCTAAGTTTGTTGTGCTAAATATGTGAGTTGTTTTGGTTTAGGATTGTAACTTAATAGGTGATGGTATCCTAGCTTGCATGAACATGAGGTGATGAGCAAGGAAGAGGACGCTTACTCCAAGGATCAAGTTCTTCAAAGGTGGTGCGTGATTTTAGGGAGGATTATGATAGAATGGACGAAAATGGAAGTTGGGTAGAAGGTGTTTGATGAAAGGCTTGAGGAGGGTACTCTAGGGTTGGCTCACTTCATGATGATGAAGGCCACTTCTGGGTTGTTTCTCCCAAGGTGGAGATGGGAGGGAGGTGGCCGAATTAGCCAAGGGTGACTAAGGAAAGATATAAAGGCACAAAAGGCTCTCTTTATATTCAATATCCAAAGTATTTACAAGGTGTGGTGCCTAGGGTATTTATAGGAGTGGGAGGCATCTAGGGTTGCATTTAGGGTGCCAAATGCACACTAAATGAAACCCAAATTAACCCTAGATGCAACTTGGTGGCCAAGGATGGAATCTTTGGGTTTAGTTAGGCTACATCTAGGTGCATGATAAGACCATGCAACCTTTGCCCTCCACTTGGGCCTAAGCCTTTCTAACACCAAAAATAGGTCCAATAGCCACAAAAATATGTCTAGGTTTTTGTTCCCACCCTAATCAAATACCTTAGCCCAAAAATAAAATCCTATGATCTAAAGCACCCCATAATACAAGGGTAAAATGGAAAATACAAAAGAAAATAAATCCTATGACTAAGATACCCCAAAATACAAGGGTAAAATTGGAAATACAAGTAAAATAAATTCTAAGACTAAAATACCCCAAAATACAAGGGTAAAATAGGAAATCAAATACAAGGAAAAAATAGGAATAAATGCTATGCTAAGAAAATCTTAGGAGCTAAGGCTCAAAAGTGGGCTCACTCCTCCTATGGTTTGTTTTTCAACACTAACCCATTCCTTTTGCCTCCTTCAATACATCACCTCTTGCAATTCTTGGGCTTAGTGTTATTCCATCAGTAGGTTATTTCAGAAGGACCAAAAGCCCAATATGGGTGATTTAGTAGCCTAGAACGGGTCGTTCCCAAACTGGAACAGGCCGTTCCAAACTACTAAATTGACTTGTAAATCGTAGTTGAGAACGGGTTATTCTGGAGGGAGAACGGACCGTTCCAAACCCCAAAACGGGGCGTTCTGGAGGGAGTACGAGCCTTTCTGGATGGAGAACAGGCCGTTTTGATTTCAGAACGGGCCGTTCTACATGTGATTTTTGTACGTGATGAAGGAGTGCAGAACAGGCCATTCTGAATTCAGAAGAGGTCGTTTTGGACACTCCGGAACTTCTATAAATAGGGGTTGGTGGTTGAGGAGAAAGTGATGTTTTTAGAGAGAAGTTTTAAAGAGAAGGACTCTGGATTAGGAAGCTTGTTTTGGGAGGATTGAAGTTCCGGGTTAAGTTTCGGAACGAAATTCTACTTCTTCTCAGTTATTGGCTATTTTGAGTCAATCTTCAGGTGAGGGAAGCTAGAATGTAGGTTGTTTAATTTCAGGAGAGTTAGGGAAGCTTTATGCATGGTGTTCTTTTGTTGAAATAGTTGAGTTGTTGGGTGCTTAAGTTGATTTATGTTGTTTATATTATGTAAGTTGACTTGATAGATGAATTTTAAATATATTGTATATTGCTGAAGTTGTTTATAAAGTTGTTAAGTTACATTAAGTTGATATAGTAATGACTATAGTTGTTTTATTAAGTTGTTTGCATGTTAAAATTATTAAAGTTGCATAGTTGTATGATTGAATAAGAAGTTGTCAAGCTGGTATATAATGCCTATTATTGTATTGTTGTAAGTTTTCTATTGTTGTTAAGATGCCTATTGTTGTAAAGTTGTTAAGATGTCTATTGCTGAAAAGTTGTATGTTGTTTAAGTTGTTAAGCTGATTAAGCTGTGATGATGAGTTGTTGATCACTACGACTAGGGGAGATGTTTTCAAAGTTGCTCATCCCATGGTGTGGTTTGAGATAGTTGTGGTGCTCTGAGAGCCTAATTTGTTGAAAAACCCTCCTTGGGAAGTTTTCCCTTGGAGTGGACTTTGTGTTGTTCTCCTCTAGGACATAGTTGATCCCGTGTGGGTGCAAGGTCGAGGCACACGTGTACAAAGCAACCACGGTATAGGGGCCAGGCCTAGCTATACCGATTACAACCGGCTAGATGTTTATTGTTGTAAAGTTGTTATGGTGTCTATTGTTTTAAAGTTGAAAAGTCGGGGACATATGGTGAAGATATATGTCCTATGTTAAGATACATAGTACTAAGGTGATAAGTTGAAAGTTGTTTTAAAGTTGAATGCCTTAGTACTGTGTGGGAGACATGGAAATAGTCGATCCATGTGATGGTTGAATGACCAATTTGAGTAAGGTATCTAGTTAGAAATGTAGTCTTTGACTGGGTACTGGAGGGTGCGTGGTACTTGGAGGACAATGGGTGGGCTAACTCCACATGTGGATTGGAGATGCTAGCCAAGGTCGTGGTAGGCTCATACCTAAACCCTTTTGTCCTGAAAGTAGTAATGGACCTCCGAGTCTAAGTGGCACACCTGAGCAATTGCCTATTGTTGTCTATACCTGGTTCTCTTCAGAGTTCCTAACGCTGTTCTATACCTGACCTGGTTGAGATAGATCAAATGCTAGATTCGGTAGGGTTTATGCCACCTAAACTGCTCAACCTCAGTTGTTGGAGATCTCCCAGTTGTACATGCGTCACGACGCATTAAATATTAAGTTGTATATTGTTGTTGTTGTTGTATTAAAGTTGCTTCTAAGTTGTATGAATGAGTTGGGTTTTTATGTTGAACTGTATGGTCCTTTGTGATGATGATTGATATGCATTAATATTTGTCATGAGATACGTTTATTACATGATTGATAGTTGGATGATTGTGTGGTATAGACTATTGTCTATACTTGTATGATTGATTTTTGAACTCTAGCTTACCCTTCTGTTTCCATGTGGTGGAACTGCGATGATCATACTTGGTATGGGAGCAGGTCAGGGCTAGCTTGGAGTTGAGGTGTCCGCTGCGAGACGAGGAGTTTTGATCCTTGTGTTAGAGTTACCATTTTGGGTAACGGTTTTGTTTGTGCTTGACCGACACTAGGGAATATTATTTTTGGGATGACTGTACATATATAGTGTTCTATTTTATAACCAGAAACTTAGTTATTTTCATTTTTATTTGTACATGTATGTATGAGTTATCCAACTTATTATTTCTCTTAGTTTCACTAGCAGTGGTGCGATTCAACTAAGTTTAGAGACCATGGCGGGTCGTTACACTTTTATGGTATCAGAGCTGGTCGAGTCTTTTGGGATACTCTGTGGGGAGTGATCCTTCTAGGGTTCTGTTGTGTCATATCTTTGATTTGTGTTAATTTTGGTGGGTTGTAGTGGTGAAGTGTTAGTAAAAGAATGTTTGAATTCTTTTAGTATGGTGAAGCCTCAATATGATCAGATCGCTAAGGCCATGGAGATGATGGCCATGGCAATGCAGTAGTAGACTGCTCACTTTTCTCAGATGAAGGCAGGTAGAGCTGCGGATGAGGTACCTAGACCGGTGGTCTCTCTGGATGGGAGAGATTTAGCAGAGTTCAGGAGATGTCAGCCTCCTCAGTTTAAGGGGGGATTCAGATCCTAAGTGGTAGATCAGTGGTTGAGCGAGATGGAGAAGATCTTCAGTGCTCTGGGTCTTCTAAGGAGAGGAAGTTGGCCTATGCAGTTTAGATGCTGGCAGGCGAGGATGAGTACTGGTGGAGAGGCACCAAACAGATGATGGGGAGTAGAGGTGTGGTTGTAGATTGGGATTGCTTCAAGAGAGTTTTCTTGGAGATGTATTTCCCGGACAGTGTTAGATACGCTAAGGAGGCGGTGTTTATAAGATTGCAGCAGGGGAGCCTGTCTGTATCAGAGTATGCTATGAGGTTTGAGCATTTGGTTCGTTTCTACTCTCAGGCCATATCTGAGGCTTGGCCATGTAGGAAGTTTGCAGAGGGGTTGGGGCATGAGCTGAAGAGGGTCATAGGCCCTATGTCCATAGAGGAGTTTCCTGCCTTGGTCCAGAAGGCAAAGACTATTGAGAGATTGGAGGGTGGTGGTAGCAGCGGCAAGGCTGCTAGAGTTCAAGAGGGATCATATGGATCCAAGAGGGGAGACCAGCAGAGGGGACCCTATGACAGACATGTTCAGTCTTAGAGAGGTGTTGTTAGTAGGGGACCTCATCCTGTTACTCCTTAGAGTGGAGCACCATCCGTGCAATGCTATAGATGTGGGGGAGCACATGTGGTTAGAGATTGTTTCCATCCGGGGAATGTTTGTTTCAGATGTGGCAGGCCAGGCCACCTTTCCAGAGATTGTTAGATGCCATTGACTCCATCTGGGAGTGCTTTGAGGCCACCTAGGCCTACAGTTGTAGGGAGAGTTTTTGCTTTATCAGGTGTAGAGGCTTCCACTTCATCAGATTTGGTGAAGAGGAAGGGGAAGGCAGCAGGTGAGGATGTTTTGTTCCTGTTTAATTTTGGTGCCACACATTCATTTTTTTCTGTTGATTATGTGGGAAGATTGGGTTTGTCAGTGTCTGCATTGCACATTGATTGGTATGTGTCTACTCCGGCTTCAATTTTGTGGTGAACCTAATTATGTTGCCTATGGTGGATATCGACATAATCTTAAGGATGGATTGGTTATCTACCCATCACATCCTTATAGATTGTGCTTGGAGAGAGTTGGTATTTTCTCAGTTGGAAGGTGAGGTGTTGTTGCCAGCGGGTCAGGCTGAGCAGTTGATGAGAGATAGAGTTGAGTGCTTCATGTTGTTTGCCATTTTGAATGTTGAGACGAAGAGGGCCATCACTTGGATTGAGATTGTCAATGAGTTTCCTGAGGTGTTTCCTAGATGATGTGTTGGGATTGCCACCTATCCATGATGTTAAGTTTAGCATTGATCTGGTACCAGGTGCAGGACCAGTATCAGTGGCTTCTTATAGGATGGCTCTATTTGAGTTGGTAGAGTTCAAGAGATATATCGAGAATTTGTTGGAGAAATAGATGGTGATGCCTAATATTTCTCCTTGAGGTGCCTCAGTACAGTTAGTAAAGAAGGATGGTGGGGACCGTTTGTGTGTTGATTAACGGTAACTGAATAGGTTGACGAAAAAGAATAAGTATCCACTTCCGAGGATTGATGATTTGATGGATCAGCTGAGGGGAGCTTTGGTGTTTTTGATGATTAATTTGAGATCTGGATACCATCAGATCAGGGTAAAGGAGAGTGACATACCCAAGACTGCTTTCAGGACTAGGTATGGTTACTATGGGTATGTAGTGATACCTTTCGGTGTCACTAACGGCAGTGTTCATGGATTACATCAACAGGATTTTCAAGTCATTCTTGGACAGGTTTATGGTGGTCTACATTGATGATATATTGGTGTATTCTAGATTTTTGGAGGATCACCATGAGCATCTAAGGTTGGTTTTAGAGGTGCTGAAGGAGAGGCAGTTGTATGCCAAGCTATCCAATTGTGAGTTTTGGTTGTCCGAGGTAAGATTTTTGGGGCATGTGATATCGGTAGAAGGGGATTATAGTGGATCCAGCCAAAGTGGAGGCTGTGATTCAGTGGGTGCGTCTGAGGACTACTACGGAGATTAGGAGTTTTGTTGGGTTAGCAGGTTACTATCAGAGATTCATAGAGGGTTTCTCTCGAACAGTAATGCATTTGACTCAACTGACTCGGAAAGATCAGCCTTTTGTTTGGATAGACGCTTGTGAGCAGAGTTTTCAGGAATTGAAGGGGTAATTGACTACTTCTCCAATTTTGGTATTACCTGACACTGGTGAGCATTTTGATGTGTTCTTTGATGCTTCTCACCGGGGGTTGGATTGCGTGTTGATGCAGGGAGGGAGAGTAGTGGCATATACTTCGAGCCAACTTAAGACTCATGAGAGGAATTATCCTACTCATGTTTTGGAGCTTGCAGCTGTGGTGTTTTCCTTGAAGTCGTGGAGGCACTATCTGTATGGTGTGAGATTCAGTGTATTCAGTGATCACAAGAGTTTAAAGTACCTGTTTGATCAGAAGGAGTTGAATATGAGGCAGAGTAGGTGGATGGAATTCCTAAAGGACTTTGATTTCCAGTTGATGTATCATCCTGGAAGGCGAGTGTGGTAGCAGATGTATTGATTAGGAAATCCATTCATATGTCGACTATGCTGATTAGGGAGTTGGAGATGATTGAGAAATTTAGAGATTTGAGACTAGAGGTGGAGGTTGTTCAAGATCACATTAGTTGTGGTATGATCACCATAACTAATGAGTTCTTGAGACAGGTGGGAACTAAGAAATTATAGGATACAAAGTTGTTAAGGATTTCGGGATTGCTTGGTACCGAGAGGGCAGCTGGTTTTGAGCTTAGTGCTGATGGAGATTCCCGAGTGGAAGTGTGATAGTGTCACTAAGGACTTTGTGGTTGGGTTGCCTAGGACAACTAGGAACAGTAACTCTATCTGGGTGATTGTTGCTAGGTTGAAAAAGTGTGCGCACTTTCCTGTCAAGAGGTGGTCCTTGGAGAGGCTTGCACAGTTGTATATTAGAGAGATAGTACAGTTTCATGGAGTTCCTTCCAGTATTATCTCTAATAGAGATCCAAGGTTTACTTCCAGGTTGGCAGACTCTGCATCAGGCTTTGGGGATGAGGTTGATGTTGAGCTCTGCTTACCATCCACAGACAGATGGTCAGTCAGAGAGGACAGTTTAGTCACTAGAGGATCTCCTAAGAGCTTGTGTATTGAATCATCTGGGTAGCTAGGAGGAGGTGTTACCATTAGTGGAGTTTACCTACAACAACAGTTATCACTTGAGTATTGGCATGGGGCCTTTTGAGGCTTTGTATGGTAGGAGGTGTAGGACTCCATTATGTTGGTATCAGGAGGGTGAGTCAGTAGTGGTTGGTCCAGAGTTAGTTCTTTAGACTACTGAGATGGTGAGATAGATTCAGGAAAGGTTGAGGGCTACCCAGAGTCGACAAAAGTCTTATGCTGATAAGAAGAGGAGACCTCTAGAGTTTGAGGAGGGAGAATACGTGTTTTTCAGGGTGGCACTCACTATTGGTTTGGGAAGGGCAGTAAGGGCTAAGAAGCTCACTCCGAGGTTCATTGGTCCTTACCAGATCCTTCATCGTGTAGGTCCAGTAGCTTATCAGTTGGCGTTGCCTCCGGTTCTGTCCAACCAGCATGATGTGTTTCATGTTTCACAGTTGAGGAAGTACATTAGAGACTTGAGTCAAGTGGTAGAGATGGATGAGGTGCAAGTTAGAGAGAACTTGACCTATGAGAAGAGATTGGTACAAGTTGAAGGAGCTTCGTGGCAAGTCCATCAGCTTGGTGAAGATTCTTTGGGATGCAGCTACTGGTGAGGCTACCTGGGAGGTGGAGAGTCAGTTCAAGGAATAGTATCCATTCCTCTTTTCAAGTAAGCCTATTTTTGGGGACAAAAATTTCTATTTGTTGCGGGGTATTGTAACGTAATAGGTTATTTTAAAAGGCCCAAAAGCCCAATATGGGTGATTTAGTATCCCAAAACGGGTCATTCCCAAACTGGAACGGGCCGTTCCAAACTACTAAATTGACTTGTAAATCGTAGTTGAGAACGGGCCGTTCTAGAGGGAGAACGGGCCGTTCCAAACCCCAAAACGGGGCATTTTGGAGGGAGTACAGGTCGTTCTGGATGGAGAACGGGCTGTTCTGGATGAGTCCCAAAACGGGCCATTCTGATTTCAGAACGGGTCGTTCTGCATGTGATTTTTGTACGTGATGAAGGAGTGCAGAACAGGCCATTCCGAATTCAGAATAGGCCTTTCTGGCCACTACGGAACTTCTATAAATAGGGGTTGGTGGTTGAGGAGAAAGTGATGTTTTTAGAGAGAAGTTTTAGAGAGAAGGACTCTGGATTAGGAAGCTTTTTTTGGGAGGATTGAAGTTCCGGGTTGAGTTTCGGAAGGGAATTCTACTTCTTCTAAGTTATTGGCTATTTTAAGCCAATCTTCAGGCGAGGGAAGCTAGAATGTAGGTTGTTTAATTTCAGGAGAGTTAGGGAAGCTTTATGCATGGTGTTCTTTTGTTGAAATAGTTGAGTTGTTGGGTGCTTAAGTTGATTTATGTTGTTTATATTATGTAAGTTGACATGATAAATGAATTTTAAATATGTTGTGTATTGCTGAAGTTGTTTATAAAGTTGTTAAGTTACATTAAGTTGATATAGTAATGACTATAGTTGTTTTATTAAGTTGTTTGCATGTTGTTAAAATTATTAAAGTTGCATAGTTGTATGATTGAATAAGAAGTTGTCAAGCTGGTATATAATGCCTATTGTTGTATTGTTGTAAGTTGTCTATTGTTGTTAAGATGCCTATTGCTGTAAATTTGTTAAGATGTCTATTGCTGAAAAGTTGTATGTTGTTTAAGTTGTTAAGATGATTAAGCTGTGATGATGAGTTGTTGATCACTAGGACTAGGGGAAATGTTTTCGAAGTTGCTCATCCCATGGTATGGATTGAGATAGTTGTGGTGCTCTGAGAGCCCAATTTGTTGAAAAACCCTCCTTGGGAAGTTGTCCCTTGGAGTGGACGTTGTGTTGTTCTCCTCTAGGACTTAGTTGATCCCGTGTGTGGGCAAGATTGAGGCACACGTGTGCAAAGCGACCACGGTATAGGGCCAGGCCAAGCTATACCGATTACAAGCGGCCAGATGTTTATTGTTGTAAAGTTGTGATGGTGTCTATTGTTGTAAAGTTGAAAAGTTAGAGACATATGGTGAAGATATATGTCCTATGTTGAGATACATAGTACTAAGGTGATAAGTTAAAAGTTGTTTTAAAGTTGAATCCCTTAGTACTGTGTGGGCGACATGGAAATAGTCGATCCATGTCATGGTTGAATAACCAATTTGAGTAAGGTATCTAGTTAGAGATGTAGTCTTTGACTAGGTACTGGAGGGTGCGTGGTACTTGGAGGACAGTGGGTGGGCTAACTCCACATGTGGATTGGTGATGCTAGACAAGGCCGTGGTAGGCTCATACCCAAACCCTTCTATGCTGACAGTAGTACTGGACCTCCGAGTCTAAGTGGCACACCTGAGCAATCGCCTATTGTTGTCTATACCTGGTTCTCTTCAGAGTTCCTAACGCTGTTCTATACCT